AGTAGGTTTTGCCAACCAACGATGTTTGGCTACGGAGAACGATATCAAAGCGCATACCCATATCACTTATTCCCTTAATTTCTGGCATGATGCCAGCCATGCACAGCAGCAATATACTGGCGATCGTCATGGTCAGTGAATAAAAGGGCACACCGAACATTCGTCCACACCATATCCTTTAATACACAAAGGAGTACCCTTCTTCGCTGTGCATATCCATATACTTTACATTTAAATATTTGAATATGTACTCATATATATCTTGCTGTCATTGCTAATAAATACAAGCTTATGAATCCAAGCTCATGGGATCTGCTCAGAATACACTATGGGGGTAGTGGCTTGGCAGACATGGATGGATGGACGTTGCCCATTTAGCGAAACAAGGCATTCGTGCCAGTGAAGCTTGGTGTTGGTGATGTTGGCTGACTTCGCCAGAAAGGGTTGGGTGGTGAAGATGTGGAAGTGAACTTGATTCTCGAAAAAGTACCCTTTGATGCTAATCAAAGGCTTAAAATATTGTCAAATAACTAATTAGAGATGTTGTTCTAGTCATCATCAAGAAGTGGCAGTTGCATTTAATAAAATGGTGGTTGCACAAGTTCCATGGCTTTGAAAACTGTTGAAATGATTGCTATTTACTTGGGAAATCTTCCAAAATCTCATGTAGACCCTAGGGAACCTACCAAAATCCTGTGTAGGTGTTATGTTTGCCAATTGCGCTTAAATACCCTCCCAAAAGTGGAATTTCGTATGGCTGGAGGAACTACCAGAACTAGTCAATTTCTAGTCCTTCACTAGAACCAGCAAAGTTTCGCTAGAACCACAAGGTAATTCATAATGTCATTGTCAGAGAGCTACTAGCAATGCTCAGAGCCACTAACAGCTTAACAACTCACCTAAACCCACTCGTACACCTCTGACCCATCAACTAGAACTTATAAAAATGCCACCGTACCTGTATATATATGATTTTTCTTTTTCTTCATTTTGGGAGAACAGAGCAGAAGAATTGACACTCGGAGGGACTTCTAATTTCTTTCTCACATACCAGACTTCCATTTTCCTCTAAGAAAAATCCTCCACCTTCAACCTCTTACCTTACACATTGGAATCACTCGAGAATCACCATTTTCTCCATCTTTTCTGCACTTCCAACACTACAGAATAACTTTCAAACTTGCAGCACGTCATGGTTGAGAGGCAGCATATTGCAGTTTCAGCTTGTGGGTAATTTCTCTTGAGCATCAGATGATCAAGTTGCAAGGTTAACATCAACAACGGGATCAAGCACTCTACTCGCAAGCCCCCAAGCGACCATCCCTCCTTCTCCCATCACCACTTTCGAATTTATCCCTTTGGTCTATAAAAAGAGCTACGAGAGAGGGATTGTTGTATTTGCCATTTTCAATATGAGGGTTGCTCTTTATAGAGTGAGGATATTTACTAGAAATGATAGAGGTCAAATTTATTGTTATTATTATTATGTCACAATACTTTATGTATAAGTGAAATTCTTAAGTTGTGATCTTTGATCCTCATATGTTTTCCATCTTTGTTGCTATTAAAACAATGTACATCTTCCTCTTCTCGTCATCTTTGATAGTTGTATAATCATTCTTGATCCTTAAAACCCTAGTCGTCGTTGCCTAGCTTTTCTAGCTTGGCTGGAACATTTGTATTTTCAAACTTCTTCGGAAGGTTCGTTGTTGGGTATTATCGCTGGACAGAACAAGATGGCCCGAAACACATAGCCCTTGGCACATGAAGCGAGTGCCGCCAAAAAGACCTTCATCACTTCTTTTACGAGTGGCATCCTAGTTAACCTCCATATTATCACTGGTGTGGGCTCATCATTCTTCATCACTAGTATATATACTAGTATAGTGGCATTTTTGTAATTTTTGGTTGATGGGTCATAGGTGTACAAGTGAGTTTGGGTGAGTTGCCAAGCTTTTAGTGGCTCTGGCATTGTTGGCAGCTTTCTAGCAATGACATTATGAATTATCCAGTGGTTTTAGTGAAGTTTCGTTGGTTCTAATGAAAGATTGGAAGCCGACTATTTATGATAATTCCTTCAGTCATATGAAATTCCACTTTTGGGAGGGTACTTGAGTGCAGCTGGTAAACACAACACATGCATAGGATTTTGGTACGTTCTCTAAGGTCTGCGCAAGATTTTGGAGGATTTCCCAAGTAAACAACAATCTTTTTCAATAGTTTTCAAGGCTACATAACTTGTGCAACCACCATTTTAATAAATACAACTGTCACTTGTTGATGGTGACTAGAACAGCATCTCTGGTTAGTTTTTTAACAGGATTTTAAGCCTTTGGTTAGCATCAAAGGGTACTATTTTAGTAATTAAGTCCACTTCCATGTCTTTGCCACCCAGCCCTTTCTTACGAAGTCGGGCAACATCGCCAGTGCCAATCTTCGCCAACGCGAGGACCTTGGTTTGCCAGATCGGCAACGTCCATCCATCTATGCCTGCCAAGCCACTACCCCTATAATTTATCCCAAGTAGATCCCATGAGCTTGGATTCATGGGCTTGTATTTATCTGCAATGACAACAAGATACATGTGAGTATATATTCAAATATTTAAATGTAAAGTATATAAATATGTGCGGCGAAGAAAGGCACTCCCTTGTGTATGAAAGGGTATGATGTGGATGAATATTCACAATGCCCTTTTGTTTGCTAGCCATGGTGAGTGCCAGTATATTGTTGCTAGCCATGGCGAGCGCCAGTATATTGCTGTTGTGCATGGCTGGCATTGCGCCAGAATCAAAGGAACAAATGATTTGGGTATGTGTTGCAATATTGTTGTTTCGAGCCAAGCGTCATGGGTCAGCGATACTTATTAACACATTAAACATAGAAGATATATGTTATGAGTTAGAATTATTGGCAATCGGTAACTTTGTCTTTTTATGTGAAAGAATAATGACATGCATGGCTGCCAGCCATGTAGATATTGCAGGGTTAGTCATGAATAGCTTCCCTATA